ACACAAAGCCCGGTGCAGGGCAAATATTTGTGGTTTGCACCGGGCGGTGGGGCTGAGGAAAAAGGCTCACGCAGCGCCGAGGATAAACAATAAAGCAGAGTTATTCCCTGCCGGGGATTTGGAGTCATAGCTCATTAAATTCTCTGGCATAATACAAGTTATTCTTTTATTGTGCACGGCGCAGGTACTGCTTTGTTTTGGGCTGATGGATGTGGTGCACGTAGCTCGTCCCAGGGGCTCTAATTGAGAGCAGCTCGTCAAAGCAGAGAGGTGTGCTGGCACTGCCTCTAAGCTGCCACGTCAGAGCCCGCCGGGTTATCCTCCTTCTTTAGTTCACTTTATATTTTGCTTTATAGTGTGGCTGATTATCATTAAAAAGATGGATGCTTTCCTTGGAAGATGAATGGATACAGTTAGATGAGATTTAATTTTAGATTTTAAATGCAGTTATTGTCTTCTGGCTTCTATGACAAACAACCAAATACCTGACTCCTTCCCAGACTGCTTGTCTCCCCTGGAGACATCAAACATATCAATATCCATATTTTACTGTAAGATATAAAACCAAAAAGGCCGCACAATGGCTGTAGTGAGGCCATAAGCTGTGACCAGCTGGCCTTGAAGGTTATCCATCAGAAAGGTGAGATGCCAGCAGCCCTCCTTGTAGCACTAAACCAGGCGTGGGCACATCTGAAATAGCAAGACTGCTTGGTTTTCGTGTTAGAAAAGCTTTAACTCCCCTAAGATCTGCATAGAACATCTCAGCACCTGAAATTCTCTCTGATCCACTACACAGGTGATGATCTGATGTCTAATTTGAAGGTGAACAAAGAGCTGATTAGAAGTGAAACCTCTATCTTTCTTAGAAGTACCTGTGGTATCTCTCTCCATTTAATGCTAACATCCACCAACAGTTAGGTCTGAAAGGACCCCAGCAGTGGCCAATCCCAATGTGCTGAGGAGTGCTGCTTCAACCCAATGGGAGGCAGGTAGATGTCGGTGTGGATGCAATTGTGCTTTTCTTCTGAAGCAAATTTTGGATCATTTCAGGGTGTTCCCATTTCTGTCACACTGTTAAGTGATTAATTAACAGACAGAAGCGTCTATTCTATCTTCGTCTTCTCATAATTACTAAATGCTTGGATGGAGCTGATTCAAACCTTTTTATTATGTTTTTTTCCCCGAGTTGTTGAGAGATAAACACATACATTACTGTAAACCCACAGCTTTATTCTAAATGATAGTTACTGCTTTTTGCATCTAAAACTATAACATTTGCATCTTCAGTAAATGGTTACTATAAAATCCAGCATTATTTTTCTATTTGGGATTTATATTGTACATAATATATAATTTGAATTGTCACTGAGGCTGCAGAACACACATGCTATGTAACACTTGATGGGTTCCTTTGAGATCAATTGAAAGAGCGAAACAGGAGAAATAATTGCGTTTTGGGTCAAGATAGTGGTGCAATGATTTGGCTGTTGCTCGAGGATATAGCAACTTCAGCATCAATAATACATAACATGCAGTTATATGAATAAATCTCTGCTGGCGTTCGATTCAGTGGCTCCTCAGCCTTAGAAGATCCCTTTTGTATGTGTGTTCTGCAGCGGTGTGGAAAGTATGGCACGTTTATGGAAAACTCCTTGTAAGCTTCAACAGTGTGCTCTGTGGTAATGCATGAGATTCACTGATCCTGGATACGGGTAGCAGGGACAGCAACCCTGAGTGATGTGCTGTAGGATGAAATGGACATAGACTGCAGGAGCTCATTACTCTCAGTGCCATTTTGGGGATCCTGTTGGCCTGTGCAAAAACTGAACCAAGTTCCATATTTTTATGTTCTGTCTTACATCTGAATGATATGGAGGTGGGGGTGGACTTGCATTTTATTGCAATCGCATTTACTTGATGGAAGCTGCTCAAACGTGTTCTTTGTTTTATTAAAGGGCTCAAAAAGTGCTTTCTGAGATAGTTGTGTGAAAGGATCCCTTAATGAGTCACTGCTGAAAATACAATCGATCATTTCTGAAACATCAGCATATACAGAGTGGTCATACAACGCCAAGTGGGGCAGGAGCTGTAATCTCTCCCAGGCACAAATAAATCACGATCAGCACTCTTAATAAAACTGGGTTCTACTTGGCAGCGTGACCTGAGATAGGGATGGCAATTACTGCTTAGCATTGGTGTTTTGTGGCCGCTATGCTGGTTGCAGCAGCCTGGGGAGCAGTGGGTGTTTCCTCCTCCAGCTCAAGGACTGCTGAGCTGACTGTCAGACCTCTGTACCCCTCCTAGGCCCCCCCAGGACAGCCCAGCAGCTGGGGTAGCTGAAGCTCCAGCTCTGCTTTGAAAAGTGCTGTAGAAATGTGCTTTGTTCTAAACTGGTTTCAAAAGCGGGATTCTTTTTCCTCTTAGGAATCGTATGGTCTTCTCATCTCAACTGCAGCAATACCAGCTTAGAAATATTTTGTGGGAGATGCTGCAGCAATGTGCAGATATTAGTGGGGGTGTGGCAGGAAAGACTTCAGCTTATTGCTAGTTGCCTTGAAATGCTGTGTATGGTGATAACACAGCTTTGTGGGTTAGTGTCTGCCTTCGTTCTTCCTTCCCCCAATCTTTCAGAGACTCATTTGTCAGCTGTGACTCTGATACTTTCCTCACTCTCTGCACTTTGAAGCACTGTTGAGGTTCACAGTGTTCTGTCCCCAGCTTCAGGACACAGCAATCCTCATGCTGCTTATTTAGGAGAACGCAATCTCTATTCGTTATTTCATAACTTCTCTAAAGATATTATGCTCTTCTTGGGATGTCATTCAGCATTCACAGTATTTTAGTGAGATATGTGATGCTGGAGCTTTTCCACAACAGAGATCTTGCTGTGCTTCAGCCTCAGCTTCACACAGAAGTGCCTCTTCCAAATCCCATGTGGATATTGAAATAAGTGCCACCGCAGCGATCAGATGCTGTGTGCACAAAGGGCAGAGCTGGGACTAACAATTTTTGAAATAATTGCTTACCAGCAATGTTTCCCAAACCTAGTAAGCCAGAGGTGACGTTTCAGTTCTGAAATATTTATAGAAGTGTTTGGAGTAGAATACTAAGATTATTCTTTAATAGTGACTTTCAGTGAGAAACTGCGGTTTGTGATTAAGGATGCAGTAAAAATGCACGTAGGGTTCAGTAACTCATGAGGAGGTTCATCCTTTCAAGCACACAAAGCCCAACTGATGCGTCCCATTCAGGCTATGGAATGAGGGGAGGGCTTCAGGCAAAACTTGATTCTAAATCCATTCATTCCAACAAACAATCCTGAGGAGATATTTTTGAAAGTGACAGCAGCTTCTGAGACTTTGGGTGAATGCATCCAAAATGAGGAAACAATATTTTAGTTTATGGGCTAAAAAGCCATTTTAAATTTTGGCAAGGTTTTTACAGGAAGAACACGTTATTCCCTTCAGACTCCCTCTAGAATCATTGCTAGCAGCGATCCATTGAGCATCTGTCATTAATCTGTGATGAAAAGGTGAAAACTAATGCTGTGCTCATCTCAAGCCTTAAGAAAATGTGGGGTGAAATGCCAAGCATTGTTATCACACTGTGTCCAAAGGTGTGTGTATCCAGAAGGGTTTGCGGATTCAGAGCACATTAAAATGGTTTGGAAGTAGTATTGCAAAATGCAGGAATCTGATTTATGAATAGGAGGAAATTAAAATGATATGGCATACCTAATTATTTTTGTTTTTGACTTAGAAATATCATAACTGTCATAAAACCAAAATTGTCTTTTGATTGTAGTAATATGCATTGAAATAATGTGTCGGAAAGTTAATCTTCTGAATCTTATGAAATAGCTTATGAAATAACTTTTTCTTTTTTTGTACCAAGGATACATTTCTTCTAAAAGTTCTCTTCCGTTGGAAATACGGTTAGGAATGAAATGAAGCTGTGCCTCTCAGAGACCTGGCGGGTTGTCTGTGTGCAGCAGGAAGGCTCAGCTCCCAGCTCAGGCCTGGCTTCACCATAAGGGTTTGTTTGTGGGAACCCCTGTGGCCCTACTGCCTTTGTGCCAGGAGAACGAGCCATGGAAGAACAGGGGCAGCCCCATATTGCAAGGACAGGTCTTTGAGTAGTTTTCCTCCATGGCTTTGGGCAAATCCCTTCATAGAGTTATAAAATCATAGAACTGTTAATGAAAAGATTGTTGGGAAAGACCTCTGAGATCCTCAACCCACCCCCACCGTGCCCACTGCCTGTTCCCTCCATGCCATGTCCCCATGGTTCTGGAACACCTCCCAGCACCCACCACCCCATGGGCAGCCCGTTGTGCTCAGGATCTGCCCTTGGGAAAGTCTGGGAGCATCTTTTTATAAGGGCTTTTGTTCTTTTGAGAACACGAGAAGAACATCCAGGAGAAGTGGAGCACTACGTATGAGAGCTTATTGGGATGCTGGAGAAACAGAGCCCATCCAACGGCAGCCCTCACTGCAGGCTGATGCCTTACAGCACAAGGGGAGCTTCACATTTTACATTTAGTGCACTGTTGGCCAACTCAACATTGACTGATTTATATTCAACAGGAAAATTGGATTTCAAAGTACCTCTAGGTGTGCTGCAAGGAGGCAGCCAGCCTAAGAGGAAGATTATTCTGCAATATCAATGAATAATGTAGCTAATGAATTAGATCTAACCACCTAAGGTTCAATCTGCTCGAGATGTGCAAAAATGCACATGAAAATGAGTTTTTGTATTAAAAATACCGTAATTCAATTTTTTTTATTTCCACCAGAATATACATTACCTGAGTACATCATTTTATGTACAGTTGTAGGGTAAATGTTATTACATCATGCGAATTTAGTCTAAATACTTACAGAAATATTGAGTTATCTCACATTTGTCATAAACCTGTTCTTTTGGTTATTTGTTTTTACAGTGCATCCACATCAGAAGTCATAGGAAAAAATGATACTCAGTATTTATTCTATTAATAGGGATATTAGTCAGAAGTGTTGGATTATTCATGATGAAGAAGAGCATAGTTCTGGCTAACATCAGTGGTCACCGTTATCCATCGTCTGTCTTGGAACACTTGGGGTCATTCTGGTTGCCTTGAGATCCCACTTGCAATGGCTTCTTGCTAGTGAGGTGGGTGGGAATTCTGTCATGGATAGGATTATCTTCAAATTCCTGCATTTTCTCAGTTTTTTTCCTTGATTGGTAAATATTCTAAGCTTGACATTTTATGCACAATAAGTTTAATTTTAGGAGAATTTGTCATTTTGTTTTAATGACTCATTAAAATGCCATTTTGTTTATGGCTTGCCTTCACTTTAGGCAGTATTTGAGAAGTTTTATGATTTATAAAAATGAAGTTATAATACCTTAAGCTGAATGATTTCTATCTCCATAGGAAGGTGCAGTGATTGCTGGCAGCCCGGTGAGTATCCGATGTTTGAATGTGCACAGGCATTTTTCAACAAGAATTCCCCAAAGTGTTCTTCTGTTGTTTTTTTAACTTCTTAAAATTCTGTTTTAAATAGAGAAGTTGAAGGCTGAAGTGGGATGGTGAGATTGAGATGGCAGGCAGCAGCAGTTCAGGGTGATTCAGTCTGACTAGCAAGAAATGATCTTTGTATCGAAATGGATTCACTCACTGAACTTTCACAGCTTCTTCCAAAAGCTGTTCTAGCTTTTAAAGTTAATAAAAATATACCTTTAAAAATCATCAGTATAACTAATGTTTAAAAGTGCATCCATAGGCCAGGAAGAGCCTGGGGGGCTCAGGTGCCACCCACTCACACTGGGGACCATTGGCAGCGTCTGCCCAGTGAGTGCCTTTGTGCCCTTATTCCCAGTGTTAGAAATACCACGGATAATTGCAGTGTGTCGTTGAACCTTTTCCTTTCTGGTTGTGTTTCACAACTGGTGAACTCAGTTCAGGCCATTGTGCCTTCCATGGTGAGCCACAGTAACAGGCAGAGGCAGGAGTTATTCCTGGCAAGATAAAAACAGAAGGAAAAGTTTAGCTATTTCAATGAGAGATGAAATATAGAATATACAGGCTGAGGCTATCATATGCTAACAGGGCTGGCTGTAATGAGACTATATGTCTTACAAGCACTAACAATTATATTCCCATTACTAAAGTACACGTAAGCAATGAAGACAATTATGCTGCAGTCGCTGTGGGGCTGTGAACGTGTTGCTGAGTTCACCTAGGAATCAGTCACATATTTCATGTATTGACAGCTGTACTTCAGCTCTCACCCTGGCACATATCAGGGATCTCTTCTGAAATCAGCACAGTGAGAGGCACTGGAAGTCAAGCGAGAAAGCAAGCCGACCCAAAGAGTAGCATTTGAGGAGGGGGTGCAGGATAAAAGCATTCCTTTGCTAACGGTCAGCAGCTTGGTAAACCTTGGCTTGCAGCAGGCATCCCATCCTGCCCAAAGTGCTGTCCCAAAATCAGTGCAGGCTCAGGTATCCCAGCCAGCACAGCCCTGTATTTCCTCAGGCTTACCTTTCTCCTGGCTGTCACCTGAGCTTTCTTGTTTTATGCTTTTCAGAACAGGAAGCACGTTTTCCTTCTGTGGCTGTGATGTTTATTGCATAATGAAACCACGGTGTGGGATTTGAGCTGCAAATAACTCGGTAACTGCCCAGTTGTGTGGCTGCAGGAGAGGATCTGTGCACACAGGGGAAATGGATTTTCTGGAGGGTGGGCTGGGAGCAGCATCCCTGGTCCAATGTAGAGCTGCTGGGGTGGAGCATGTGGCAATGTTGGTTGGCTTTGTTTTGTTTTTGGTGATTTTTTTAATACATTTTTTTTCACTGGAGGGTGCCACCCACTCACTTTGAATCTTTATATATATATTAGATGAAGTCATACTCAAAATTTTGTTGATTTAAATGAAATCATTAAGTATGTTTATTGGAACATGATGTGTATATGCTCTGCTGCCCTGTGGTTGTTCTCCTCCATGGTGCTTCTGCAAGCTTTTAAGACACAAACAGATCTACTTGCTTTATAGTTATGCTGTGATGCAGTGTGATTGCTATGTTTCACTCCTCAGTGAGGGGAAAAATCCCTTGTTACTCTCAAGAACTTGTTTTTTTACCTGGAAAATATATATGATAGCACAACAACATCAGCGACCTCCTTGTGCTGCTTTCACAGCTGCGTTTGTCTTGTCTTGGGTGATGGTGGCCAAGGAGGATGCGAGAGCAAATTGGGAACCTCATCTCAGCATGCAGGGGAGGCTGGGCTTTTTAAATTCAGAATTGTATCCATGTCAGCATTACTCACATGTTATAATGTATTTCAGGAAACTTTGAGCCCTTAACCATCCTCCCTTGGAGAAGCTGTTGCACGCCTGGCTTCTGGTTACGTGGGATACCTATTGCAGCACCCAGTGTTTATTTTTCTGCTTTTGCATTTGAAAACATTCACTGCGTGTTTGCCACAGCTCTCCTGCCTCACGGCTGCCCTCTGAAGCAGCTCCAGGCTGCACTTCCATGCTGTCCCCACACGGTGGGTGCGTGGATGCGCCCGGTGCTTCCCTGCAGGAGGAGCAGCTCTGGGGCTGAGCTCTGCGCTCCCACCGGCGGTGCAGCCTCAGTGAAGGTATTCCCCCCGGGGCTTTGATCCTTATTTAGTATTACGTCTGTCGGAAGAGTTCAGAAGTTTTTTATTTCACGTGAGCAGTGGTTGACTGCATTCCATGTGACAGCTGATTACCACTGAGCATCTTCAGCAAAGTTTCGTTTCTAATCAACCTGGCTGCCAGGAGATTTCTCTTTGTCTCTCAGAAGACATGTATTCAGACCATCAATCCATCTGTTCCAGTAAAATGTGTGCCAGTGTGTAGGTAAATAAGAGAAACAGAGCTCTGACTTATTAAATTTCTAGTGCGGGCCGTGGCGTTATAAGCTTTTGATCAGATACATTCTTTTCTCGAGCTCAATCCAATATTCCCGGGTGGCAGCTCTTTCTTCAGGCTTTTTATTTATTATTTATTTATTTATCTTAACCCTTCTTATTTTATGCAGTTCTTTCCCATCAGTTTTCTCCCAGCAGGCGCCCCTGCTTGGCTCACACTGTTGGAAACTGTAGGTGCTGTGCAGGAACTGCTCTCAGGTCAAAGAACAGCTGGGTGCGTCTTTAAAAGCGTATATTTCCTTTCTGCAATTAATGTAATTAACTTAGGCATAAATGAGGAAATTAATTGTATAAACAAACAACTCTTCTCCAAGTCCCATCAGCTCATTAAAATAAGATTCTGGAGATGCCTTCTCCCCAAGCAGGTGCCCGTACTGCCAGATCACATTTAGCAGAGGTGCTCAGTCTCACCAGGACGATGTGATCTTGCACGACACTTTATTTTTATTGAACAGCCGTTCTGCACGTAGCTTGCTGTGGTGTTTGCTCCAAGGGCTCCTTCTCAACCAGCTTCTTAAAGATCCGTGTGCAGCTGGAGGAGCAAGCAGAAGTGCCAAGCTGCCATGGAAGTCAGCTGGAATTAGGAAATCAATTAACTCCAAAAAGCATTACCACTTCGGTCAACTGTTCGCTTCTCTGCCTCTTTTTATTCTCTGTGGCTTCTTCCATCTTAGATGTGCAGATGATTTAAGTTTTAATTTGTTACCCTGTATTAGCACAACAAAAGGTGTTCTAAATTCACCAGAGTTACCTTGCAATTAGCTCCAGGCTGCACTTTTGCATAAGCACGGAAACCCAGCTGCTTTATGAGGAGTTGTTCTTGCATGATAACTTACTCACATGTATGTCTGAACTCTTAGAAAATATTGCCTTGGGGACTGGCTTTCTAAATGAACCATGAAAATCCTCTTTGTTAGGCAGGGAAACCGGAATGTGGGTCCTGTCCTCAGCACAACTGGGCAGTCTGGACAAGAGCTCTGGGCAGCTGCTCAGCCCTGGAGCACGGGGATCAGGAGCATCATCTGTGTGGTCTGTTGAGTCTCCTATGGATAGATTAATGAACCTGCCTGCATCTATTTCTGGTATTTTTAAGTTTGCCCATCCAGGAGCTGGAATTCTGGAAAGGCCCTGAAGGTGTTGGAAGGCCACACATGATTCCACTCAGTGACAGTCCCAGCATCTCTCCCCTCCCCAAAGTCTGGAGTGGGATCTTCAGCCATCCTGGGAGATGATGTTCCACTGGGCATCCATGGGACTTCCACACTTCTAATGACTGAAACACCTTCAGAAATCCCATCCTTAGCATTCCTCATTACTGCCTCATTTCCAGAAGTGCTTAGCAGCTTTGCCTGGGCTTTACTGTTGGATATCACTCAGATGAAATCTTCTCAATCTCCTCTCTTAATGATGGTAAGTGCTGCGGGAGCTGTGCTGAGGACACTTAAAACCAGGGCTGACACTTATGGATTAAATCTTTTGAAACACCTGGCAAAAAACACTGAGTAGAGATGAAGCCTCCTGCTATTCCAGCATTCCCCTTTGTCAAGCATTCAATTCCCTGTTTGATCTACAGGATCCAAACAAATGAGCGTTTGCCTGTTTTATCCGGTGTCTAATTAAATATGAAGATTACAGATGTACTCCAACTGAAAAACGAATGCTGGTATTTTTTCACTGAGATCTGGATTTATAATGAAATGATTACTTTCAAATTAGGAGAATTAGAAGTTACAGTGTTTGTACTTGTGATTGCTACCAACTGCGTATATTTGCATCTCATGTTTTTTATACAATCACTAGCCCTCTTTTGTAGAGAATTGCTCTGAGATGACGATGGTGCCCTTCTGAGGTTTTGTTTCCTGTACCTTTTGACTGAGTGCAATGCATGGAGGAGAAGCTGAGGTTAATGTGTCACATTTCCAGTTCCAGGAACTGAACTCAATCTGAAGTCTCAAATGCCATCCTAAAAATAAGATTTGGGGTTGTTACAGCTGCCTTCTTGCCTATAGCTTTAATTTCTAATGAGTTTCACAAACTCAACATAACATTAATATGTAGTTTGGTATTTTTCCCTTCAAGAATATTTTTCAGTCACTCCTTTGGTTTAGAACATCTGCGGAAGCCTTTAGCAATGTTCTTCCTTCCAAATGGCTGCTGATGAAGATAAGGTGAAATGATAACCATCTGCAGAAATCCCCATTCCTCTGAAAAGAGGGAATAATGGAGAAAGTCTGCCACCTGGTAAGCAGGGCTTCATGCTCTGCAGCTGGCATGTCCAAGCAGGGAAGCACTGCTCAGCTGCTTTTCATGGGTCCTAAAACAAGAAAGCTTTGAGGCAGATGATCTTTAAGGTCTCTTCTGACCCAAGCCATTCTATAATTCCATGAAGGAGGAAAGAGAAACAGTTGCAAACAGTGATGGAAAAGATCTTCTGCGATTCACTTGGTATGCAGAGCCCGGAACAGCTGAGCGTGAGCAGAGCATGGTGGCAGATGGAGCTTTGTTTCCTGGAGATGAAGCAGAATAGCAGAGAGGGAAGGCAGGGCCATGCTGTTTGCGGGCAGAGCCCCTTGGTTACAGCATTGGCTGCTACTGTGAGCCTTTATCGTCTTCCAGGAGACCTTGGGTGAACTGCAGCCTGAATTACTGGCATTAGAAAAGACTTTGCAGGCTGGTTTGTCTTGACTCACGCATGTTATCTTCAGTATCGAATAGATATTTGGCAAATTAATGAAAGGAAGAAAGAGATCTTGTTCATTTCGTTAAGACCTATATATAGAACATCATATTAATATGGGGGAAAATGTCTGCAATCTTTATTGCAGGCTTACCATAACCTGGCATAAAAGTAATGTGCAATATAAATGTGTTTATACATTAGTGTATCTTGTTAAACCATTTAAAGTTAACTAATGTTTGGCCGTTTTGAAACTTTAATTAGCATTTAACAAGAAAGCAACAGTATAGCCAATTAGAGATCTAAGCAATAACACACACACACATACTTCAATTTTCTAGCAATTAATTGATAACTAGTTTACCGTGGGCTAATAATTAAATGAGAAAACATTCTGAGCAAATTGAAAGCACTGATGCAAATGAGTTCTGCATTTATTCTTTTCAAATTCACTGACCACATTATCTAATCTGTCAGGAACAGAGAAATCCTGAATTATGCTGAGCATTTACTCAAGCCGACTAACCAACCCGTACAGCAGCGCTTGTCACTTTCTGGAAGCTTTCATTGCTCTGCTGAAGGAAAGCCTTAAAGTGCAGCACTGAGGCTGATAGGGGAAGGGAACGTGGATGCTCAGCTCCTGCCTCTGCACCTTTCCCAAGGAGAAGTCATCCCAACCAAGTCATAAGATGAAGGCATTGCCATTTCAGATGCGCGGTGTTGGCAGCACTGTCTGTGTTCTGCCAGCAGAGAGAAATAAATGACAAATTTGACAAAGAGGAATATAAATTGGCAGAATGGTTTGGTATGTTCTGTCTGTGAAAACGGAGGACGTTTTTCTGTAAACTGCAGCAGTGATCATTGGGAATTGCTCCTTACAAGCAGGAAATGTCCCCATCGTTCCTATTTGAAATAGAGCAATCTCCAGCACACGGAGGATGAAGGCTCGTTTTGTCCCGAGGTTTGTCCATTTGTGATATCTCCCTCATCTGGACAGGCAGTAAGATGAAATTGCCTGAGCTCCATTAAGTTTAAACACAAGCTATCTGCTCAAGCAGAACGTGCCCAAAGATAGTGGTTCCCAGTATCACCATCACCCCGAGCACTGCGAAACTGCCGCGTCAGTACGCTCAGCTGTAAACTCTGAACGCTTCAACTGCCTTCCCAACACTGGAGCTGGAAAATAATGGGGTATTTTAAGAGGCTTATCTTCTTCACAAGACATGAGGCAATATTTTCATTTGTTTACCTTGTCTTAGTTAGGAGGTGCTGTTTTATTAGTGTGAAATTTGTACGCGGGGCAGCATGGCATTGCTTAAATAAGTACTGAGTGAAATAATTAGTGTTCAGATTTTGATGTACTGTGCCTTCACTGATGGCTGTGGGTGATGGATAGAGAGTACCTGCTATGTTCAGTTCCTCCTTGAGAGCTCAGCTCCCACCTTCCATGCATGCGTGGCCTCAGGAGAGCAACCTTCCCTAGCCCCAGTAGGGGGTTACTTTAGGAAACATCTGCTTTAAAAGCTTCCAAAAGCTTTTCCCCAGTCTGAAATAGCTCCACCAATAGGGGGAAGAGCAATCTGACCTGTTGTTTGAAGATCTCACTGTAAGAGCATCTGCTTACTTGGAGACTTTCTAGTATTTGAGTGTCCTCTTCCTCTGGAGCACTGTCTGCCTTAGTGTTGGGCTTGGCAGTGCTAAGGAACAAGGGCAAGGCAGACCTTCCCCTTACAAACTTCATTCATTCCCAACAGCTGCTGCTAACACAAATATTATCGTGCTATATATACATAGCTATAACCTGAAGTCATGCACAGTGCCAGTTTTTACTGGCATTTTCTGTACAGGCATTAATGGAGCTAAAACTAACTGGAAAATAAAACAGTGAAAGGTTCATATCTCATGTAGATGACAGTGCTAATGCAAATTTATTTTGGTTTGATTAAGTATTGAATATAATTATTAAATATGTAGTTTCATGAATAAACAGTTCATGATTTAGTATCTAGAAGAAAATGATCTATCAGGAAAAATGTTATTTATTCAATAGGAAATAACCATATCTGATTATTAAGAAGGTTACTTTTCACAGTTAAAAAGAAATCCAAGTTTCACACAACAGTCCTGGACATTTCAGGTAAAGAAATAATAATAAATTATTCCTCAATGGGCAAACTGGAAGTTCTGAAATTTGACAACGTGGTGATTTGCTGTAGTGATTGCTAAGTGATTTTGTTTATGGAGTTTTTCATCTATTTGTGATTGGTTCAAATCTCCCTTTGAAACTCGTGGCTGTGTGGGAGGAGTGGATGCTGTGGCTGTGCCTCCCACGGTGCATCTCAGGCAATGACCTGCATTCAGCTCATATCAATATGATAACACTGCAGTGGCTTTTCTGTGTTTCAGACTTGCTAGTTCCTCCTGGAGTTGAAATGGAGACTTGGGGCAGTCACAGTGCACGGCACTGTTTTTAGGATCCAGCTGTGTCCCTCAAACATTTCCAGGGAGCATCTGGGAAATCAGGTATTAAGGTGATGCCAGGGATGGTTTCTGTTGGGTAGCACCTCGGGCAGTGCAGATGTTCTTTATTCCTTGTTATCAATAACATGATTTCCCTATTATCATCACTATTTTTATTTATGGCTGCTCTGTGGCTTTGGCTGTGCTCACCGTTGCAGTCCCTCTATGCCCATGGTGGCTATGTGAGAGCAGCCATATGGGGCTGAGGAATCTGGGGGTTCCCAGCCTGTCCTGCTGCAAATAAGAGCATCCCCTTCAGCACGGACAGCTTCTGCCTGGAGGTATTCCATAGCAGGCTGGATTTGATTCGTTGCTGTGAAGCTGTAGGTGCTCTTAAAAATCCACAAAGCTGTCAGATGTTGTGAGCCCTGCAGAACCACCTTTTCATCCTCTGGAGTTTCATCTAGTCCTGTTTGAAATCAAGGATGGAGTGCTTTATAAAGGTTCCTGTCAAGGACCACATGCTGCAGGTGTCCTGGAGTGAGAGGTGGCAGCAGGAGACCTGTGGTCACTGCCAAAGCTGGCTGTGATTGATGGTCGTGGGCTGCCTGACCCCAGCCCACAGGGAAGGCAGTAAATCACCACTGTGTGTCCTATGGAGTAATCTTCTCTGGTTCTTCTGCTCTGAAAGTCAGGGTGCTGTGTGTCCTTGGCAGGAGTCCCTAACTGAAAGGAGAGGTGTTTTGCTGGCAGAGTTGGATATTAATTAAAAAAAAAAAAAAACACAAAACAAAGAAAGTGAATAACTTCTAACTTGGCAAGCTAAGGACTGTAGTTTAAGTTCAGAAAAGAATTTATTTGGAATTTTTAAACCAGGAGGAAGAAAACCCTCAAGAAAACTAACATGGAGAACCAGACGTAGTGGTGTGATTTGCAGACTGCCAGCTCAGTCAGCTGCTTCAGCCAGGAATGACAGCAAGAGTGTTATCAAGATGTTCCCTGAGTGCTGGCACAATGTGAGGCCACCACCTCTCATCCTATTGCTGTTACCTGGGAGCAGAGACCCCCACCCACCACAGCCTCAATCTAGGGAGTGCTATGGAGCAACCAGATCTCCCCCAGCCTCCTTTGCTTCAGATTTCAGATGTCCCTCCCTGGCTTGTGCTGCTCCATGTGTCCACAGCTTTCTATTTTCCTCATCAGTTGCTCACTTGCTCTGTTTGACTATCACAGGATTTTCTCCTTTTTTCTGCATTCACACCACCAGTGACTGGTGCATGGTGTGAGCTGAGAGCAGCATCACACTCCCTGATCCTGTGGTCAATACGTGTCCGTGCTTTTCTTTCAGATGGATCAGCGGACAGTTCAGGCTTTTGCTTTTTGCTAAGCCACGCATTTCCAGGATTCTCAGTAAATATTGATTAACCTTTCAGTTTGCAAGATCAACTGTGATCTTTCCTTTTATTATTTTTAATTTCCCTGCATTTTCCTGAAACCTGGCAGGGCTGGGAGCTGACATGGAGACAAACCTCGCTGTGCCAACCTTGGTGCTGCCATCTACACACTGGGTATGGAACTGCTTTGTACATTTGCATCTATCTTCTGTTTCTCACCTCCACTTAAATGTTCCATCAGATCCCACGTGTCAGTGAGCGATGTTTCAGGTATATGTGGTGTGCAATTGTTAGAGCAGTGCTTGATGTGTGTATTGCTTTGGCCTGAAGGAACAAGGCCAAACGGGCTGCAGCCAGGCAGGGCTCCCAGTGGGTGCAGAGCAGAACTGCTCCTCGTGCCCACCCAGCCTCCACTCCCTTTCTTCGCACTTGCAGGATTTCTTCCTTTCTTCCAGCAGGGTGCATTGCAGTAGTGCTCTCTGAGTCTTAATGCTAACCCTGCTGTTTTTGGGTTTGTTTTGTGAGTTGATGGTAATGTTGTTTTTGCTTGCTTGTAGGGTTTTTGTTTGTTTTGCTGCTTGTTGTTTCACTTGTTTGTTTGTTTGTGGTCTACTGCTTTCAGGGGAATCATTACTTCGAATGACATTACCCACAAGTAAAGAACAGGCAGCCTGTCCTTCCCATAATGTATGCACAACGTAATCACCTGCACTGGGATCAGCCAGAGCTGCTGCTGCCTCAGCCAGGAGGGGGCTCGGTGGCTGTGCTCCTTGTGCAGAGGAGTGGGGCAGAGCTGTGCCCTGCAGTGCTGCTGGGAGGGGAGGACACGGTGTGGGGTGCAGCTCTGCTCTGTTGCTGATTTGCAAACCTCATGGCACTGCAAATGTGGCTGATGGTTGTTCAGATGTAGAAAACCATTCCTTCTTTGTGGGTTTCCATGAGAAATTTGCTTGTTAACTGATAGTATTTGGTGAAAGTTCCCATGTCAAAGGATATCCAGGGATGTTGTGCTTTAGGGCTGTCTGCCTTAAAAAGCTTCTGGAAATGCCTCATCTTGCGTGGTGTCACAGAGTTTGAAGGCAGGAGGGACGCCTTGCTGTTAGAGGTGGTTGGAATCCAATCATGTCTCTGTCATTGATAGATCACAGAGCCATAGAATCATTCAGGTCAGAAAAGACCCCAAGATCCCCCAGCACAACCCACCCCATCCCCACCATTCCCACTGCCCTTGTCTCTCAGTGCCACATCCCCTCCTGGAACACCTTTGGGGATGGTCGTCCTGCCAGCCCTGCCCCTGAGCAGAGCCAGGGAGCAGGACATCACATACATGCATCTAACCCAGATGGGTGGGAGATGTGGACAATGCAAATGTACAGAGTAACAGCTGATCTCTGTAAGGACTTCTTGCTTTCAGATGGGATGGGACTGGTATTTCTGTTCTTGTTGTGGCATTGATGTATGCTTTGACCAAAGCCTTCACCTTTAAGCAAGGAGAGGCTCAAGGTCAGCTGCTCCAAGATGTTATCCTAATAAGTGCTTTTGGAGACTTCCTTGTGCTTTAGGGCTTTGTAAGAACCTATGCCTTTGGTATTCTGGCCTGGATCTTATCAGCTACTGTAATTCTGTGTACAGTGAAATTATTTGTCTGATGAAAATTATGTGTGTGCTGAAGCGTTCTGTCAAGCTGGGGCCAGCAGGAGCTGGACTGGGATAAGCCTTCATTTTTCTATCACCTTTTATGTTGCTTTTATCAGCTTCCAAAGTGAATCTCAGTGAGAATCTCTTGAATCTCCCCTGGCCAGCACAAACGTATATTTATCCTGAGTTTCTGAGGCTGTTTCTGGGCTGTTCATTTAAGAGCCTTATACGAGGTGCTTTTCTTCACTCCAAGGGCGCAATGAATTTCTGAGGAGTGGATTTTTAATGTGATTTACAGATTTGTTTTCCACATCCTCAATTTTTTTGCACGTCACTCGCCTCTGCATTTATAAACGTGTGATTATGTGCATTGTGGTGCCGTGCAGTTCCTGTAATGTGCTCACACTAAGAGCACCAAACTGTCCTTTGGTATTTGCTTTGGAAATGCTGGTGCATAATAAATGGCACTGCATGGGAAGAGCTTTGGGGATGTAAGCTAGTTGGGAATCCCCCACCAGCCTCCTCATCTACATCCCATATGGTTTCTGCTCGTGCTTCTTGGTGTCCTGTGCAGCTACTGTGGTATAGCAGCTCTTGGTGGCAAGAGCTGAGGGTGGTATCTACCCCATGCTCACAAGGGTGTTTGATTTGGGAGTGCAGCACATGGTCCACATGCCCAATAAAGGCAGTGTGCCCACCTCTGCCTACAATCACGCATTTGCATGAAACAAAGGCTGTACAGAAGGAAGCTTTGGGACTGCAGAGCAGGTGCTGCTTGGGAATGGCTGTGTGCAGCTGTGGAGGAGGCAATGTCTGCAGCTGGTTTATTTCTCAGGCCAGCTTTGGGAAGTCTTCTATAGAAAAACGTTCACCTCATTTATGTTGCATTTCCATTTCAAACAGTTCATTTACAGTGACGTCAGGTATACATCAAGCAAATAGCCTGGTAGAACAAAGCTGTCAGGCAGCGATAAATTAAAGAGTTATATATGCAGTTTAATGGTTTCTGCAACTTGTAATACACCTTGCAGCTTTAGCATGGTAGTCTGGCTTGTAGTAGGACAGCAACTGATAGGAATATATTTTATTTTAAGAAGTATATATATTAAGAATCCCATTTGTTGTTCTCTTCTCCTTTGGTTTTTGTCTTGGAAACAAATGAATGTGAAACTTGGCCTTCCTTGCAACTCGCTGCCCTCCGCCGCCATTCACTCACTTCTATTTTCCTGTCCAATTTATGTCACCGTTGCTCATCCTTTACCACTGCTGCTTCAGATTTGACATCTCAAGGTTGAATGTGAGGCTCTGATGGCACTGTGGGGAATATGGAGCCAAGCCTTCTGCGTGGGAACAAATCAGTGCCAGTCGCTTCATGGATGAGACAAAGACCAGAGGTGAGCTCAGGCTTATTGGAGTCAATCTGGTGCCTCTTAACACAACAGTGACAAAAGTGTGCAGCTGACAGCTGGGTTAGCTGAGGTCAGCTTGAGACCCTTGAGCTGCTGTGGCATTTCTTGGGATATTGGTTGGAGAACAGCAGAGGGGCTGGGAGCTCTTCTGGCCCCACCTGCTTCCAAACCAAGGCTGACACATATATGGCTCTCTGTGGGTATTAATGAGTACTTCATGATGTCTCCTAATATAAAAAATAACTGCTCTCATAGTCCTGGATTCCCATGAGAAAATGCACTTCAGGATATTCTGAATTCTTCCATGCACTCAGGTTTCTGAATATAGATTCTTTTTTTTCTTCCAGTTTTTATTTATTACTATTTTTCTTGTTCTTGAATCGTGTTTGTGCTGGCCCTTCGATTGCAGGCAGTGGAGGTCACTGGAACATGATTAAAAATGATAAATAAAAGATATTGTGGAGAGAAAAAAATCAATATAACTGACTGAAAATATGGCAGAGGAGAAATACTGTGCCCCAGTGCTTTGCAAGTTATCGGCCAGCAGTGAGATCTCTTTCCCACTGTAATTGTCTCCTTGGGTGGTGTCTTCGATGGATTATCAGTGGGTTATCTTGATAGTGTTTTAAACGGCTCTCACTGAATTTCTAGAGGCTTAGGAATAAAAGGGTTTGCATTTCCAAGACATTCTCCATCTTTTATGATGAGATGAAGAGCTGGAATAAACAACATGCTTCTCATGGTGATTCCTGCAGGAAACGTTTAGAATCTAAATGTTGGATGATCAAAAAATCATAGAAGAATTCTGGAATTGAAAACGTTACTTTTATTGAAAATCAGAACTGTTCCAACCATTTTTTTTTATGACTTTTTGCCACGATTATTTTTGAAGTTTTATTCATGTTTGTTGAATTTGGGAGGCTTTGTTTCAGACCAACATTTTCTTTAGCAAATTTGCATTAATAACATACATTGTTATAATAATAGGTAAAAAAAAAAAAAAAAGTGCTTCAAGAGATACTTGAAACCCAGCCCTTCCAAACCCACCATGGCTGTGATGATGGTACAGGTAGAAAGGATCAGACAGAAGAAGTTCCTTCTCCCCAGGTTGGATTCCATGCTCCTTCTGGCCCCCGTCCAACTGGAGATTTCTATGATCCTATGCGTGCTGCCCAGGGAGGAGTGTTTGGAGGGAGCTCTTTCTGAAGCACTCCCATGCTGTTTGGCACAAATGAAAATGCTGGTGGTGAACCCACCAATGCTTTCCCTGGATAGGATAATTCTTTTGAAGCTCAGGCGTGAATCACTGGCTGTGCACTGGGAAGTGGGAGAGAAGATCATGCCTGTGGCTCGTATGGAGAAAACCATCCAGTTACTTGGCATTCCCCCATTCCTGTACTTTGTGCTTTATTTCAGCAGCTTGTGTGTATCATGGAAAAATGGACCTATCAATTGCTGTGGGCGTTTATAGACCTCCTTCCGTTTCTGTAATATCCACTGTATTTCAGCCGTTTATGAGCTGCACTAAAACCTGGTTTGTTCAGGAAATATTTTTGGTATATCCTTACAACGTAAATTGCAGCTGATATAGTTATAGAAGCACAACCTTCTCTGTAAACTTTCTCAGTCAGGAGTGAAAACGCCTTTTCAGTTTAGCTCAGAATTTATTTATTTATTTTATTCTATTTTTTCATTTTATTTTTTTTATTTTATTTGAAAAGCATCTTAGGAGAGCTAAGATCGGCCAAACCTGCAGCTGTACCAAGTCCTGGCTGCTCACCTCGAGTGTCACATGGCTGATAACCACGGTCCTACACCCCTGGCTGTTTGCCTGGCAGGGCTGGGCTTCCCAGGCTGCGGGAGAGCAACAGCTGGGTGGTGGGACTGCTGCTGTGCTGTGGGGCTGGCTGCCTCTCTGCTGTTGGAGTTTGGCATTTCGAAATGTTGCAGTACTGTCCTGAGATGATGTTGAGTCTTTTCTCGCTCCTGAGATGGGAGTGATTATGGAAAAACTGCCAGAAGTTGAGCAAAAGATGTCAATGTTGGGTCAAAGCGATTCCAGTGTAAAGGTAGGAGCTGAAAACGTGTGGGTCTTTACACACAGCCGTGAGAGAGGAATGAACTGCTTAAGCTTTGTTGTCTGCCTGTGCCATGCAGCCCTTAAGATGCTGTCTTTTCAGCAGCTCTGAATTATGAATGCCCTGTGCTTTTTCTACCTTGCAACGCAACAAAAGAACCGGGAGAATAAAGGGTGAGAAATCCCAATGGAACAGGATAGGACTGCAGCACTGCGGTTCCCTAGATAACACAGTAGGCACGTTTCTCTTGTGCTCATTAAGCTGTTTGTACTGCTGTCAGCCAGCAGCAGTGTCCACGGGCAGCAGGAGCAGTGCCTTACCCTGGCAATAGGGCTCCCCAGTGCCCCTCAGCACGCTGCCCACCAGGTGCACGCAGAGCCCAACAGCTTTTGCTGTGCTCTTTGGAGAGCTGTGCTGCAGAAGATTCACCGAGGGAAAGGCAATGTAAGCTGCTTACCCTTAAAAAAGGAATCCTTCATGATAGGAATGAAATCGGTGTTAGCCTTCTGTCTTTGCTTTAAGCTCCGTGCTGCTGCTGAATGCCTCCAGGATAAAAGATGCGCTTAGGATGAAGCGGAGAGAAGCAGTACATAAAAGCATTAAAACTCGCCCTCACGAAGCTTAGCAAGAGCCAAGGGATCTTTTATCCCATTCAAAGTGTTCCACTTAGTGGAAAAAGTGACAAACTTATGGTTGAGTCCAGCACTGCCCCCAGTGAGGTTGTCAAAGGTTCTGGAGTGCTGGTGAGCCGTGCATTGTGTCACTTTGGGTTTGGCTGCTTCCAACAAACTTGCTGCTCTGGATGTTTGAAACTGTTCTCAGGGAAGCTATTTAGAGACTGCAAACTCAATCTGAGTGCCTGATGCAATGCTGAAGGCAGTCCTTTGGCTTCCATGGGATCACCTGTGCTGTGAATCTGCTGAGGCTGTGGGATTTTCCCTGGCTATGGGATTGTGGCCATTTCACATGTAGGCAGAAGCCCAGTTACACTGCACATACAGGTTGCTCACTGGGGGCAGCAATATGAGTTGGAACAGTTTCCCCCATAAGCATGCTTGCTTGTCTTCCACCTTGTTTTTCTGAACCTGATGTTTTCAATTATCCCCATAGCATCCACCAAACTGCATCAAAACTGAGCCTAGAGAGGCAATGTAAGACAAAATGCTCTTGATGAAAAGTGTGAAGCGTAGTAGCAGCTTGTGTAAAATACAGAGATGTGCTCAGGTAACTGTTTTGCTTCTCAGTAGATAAAGAAGCCCAAAGCCACCTGTGTCCTCGTGATTCTCTGGGAGAGGAACACACCAAGGGCTGCCTGTATTCCATGCATCCCTGGTCAGGCCTGCAAGAAGGAAATCATAGCTGCTACAACACAGCAAAGGGAAGGTGGTTTTTTTGACAGTAAGTACTTCTTTACTCTTATTTTGCCTATATCTAATGATGCTATTTTGGTGTGCAGTGAAGCTTAAAGCGTTTTCTGACCCTCTGGACTGGCGTTGTCACATACTTCCTTCTAAGACAAAAAGAAATGTAGATTTATGATGCTGCTTCAGCTCATGTGAAAGCAGTAAGCTGTTAACATTAGTAGTGGGGCTGGAAATGAAGCGCAGTGAGCTGGCCATCAGCCAGCAGCTGTATCCAGATGTAATGAGCATTAAAGCCTTAGGACTGCAGGAAATGGAGAAAGGTTTGAAATGGTCACCATAGTAATAGAATGTACTTAGAATTTAATTGAAATAAAAGATGTATTAAACTAAGGGAGATTTATCAGTCTTTTATACTAATATTTAACTAGAGAAATGAATTTGCTCAGAAATGTGTGTAATTCAGATCCCTCTGACAACCCTCTGCTTCTCTTTCAAAGTTGTTTCAAAGGCTTCAAGATCTGTAGCTAATATAATGTTTTTCCAGTAAATCTCACTCTGATTTTTGCTTTGAAATAAGAGGACGTTCCCAAGATCATCCAGTTTTGAGCAAAACAAATATTCCTCCTTGGCTTGTGAATATTTCACCTGAAAATACATGGAGTCATAGAATGAGTACCCATAGAATGGATAGCTTGGGAAGAATTTCCTGCCAGCTGACCGTTCTGAGGATGTTGGCCCCTGTGCATGAGAGTAAATATGACTGGAAGTGGATATATATGGCCCCTCCTGAAATGCCAGTGGTTCTTCTGTAAGTACCAATTTATCACTCTTTTATACGTTTCTTTTAAATCAAAAGGAATGACTGTAATTCTATACCCAGATCTTGTGCTAATATGGGACATACCGTGCCATTACATTGCATCAACTTTGTTTTCCTGCTGCTGTAATGCATCGAATCAGAATTCATCAGAATTATGGGATGGTTTGGGTTGGAAGGAACCTTAAAGATCTCCTGGTTGCCACCCCCTGCCATGACTGGCTCAGTCAGTGAGTCCCTGGAGGTGCTGCTTGGATGCCTGTTATCTCCCAGTGTTCTGATGCAAAGGATTCTGATCTGACCCATCGAGTTCCCAGAGCAGCCCCACTGATGTCTTAGTGTGATTTTCAGCTTATGCTTAATAGTGTGGAGTCATACATAAGCAATCCAGTAGGTCATAAATGGTGAATAATTACTCAAAAAGTAATTATGGTTCAGTAACAAAATCATGGTAAGAAAGATCTGCATATAACTGACCATTTTAATCTTGGGCTGTAGTATAAAGCAGTTGTTCTTCCTTGTTCTATGGTCCACAAAACAAATGTCCATTCTGTTTTCCACTTTATAGAAAAATAAGTGTATCTCTCCACCGGCTTGACAAGAATGGGATTATAATTTTATTTCCCTTAGACTTTCTATGTGCTATGCTATAGGTGTAAAACTAACAGCTATTTGGTTTACATTCACAGCTCTCACAGTGCCTATTGACTTCTGGGATTGTTTTACTGGAGCGGGTTATTATTTAGATCTGTTCCAATCTGTTTCTGATTCTACTGTCAGTCTTTGAATGGAACGTATTTGAACTAAAAAAAAAAAAAAGAGGAGGAAGAGGGGAGAAGGAAGAAAATAATTCCTGCAGGGAACATAATGCAGAACTCCAGCAAAACCCAAACGCTGCACGTCCCAATATTTCCATTATCTCAGAAGATCTCTCTCCAGTGGTAGCTGTCAGATTGTTAAGACTATAGTGATATTCTGTATCTGATTTTGTTGCCTCATCACAGTTTGCTGCTTATTTCCCCAATATTTTACTTTCGCTTGCAAGACGGTGGAGCAATTTTCTCTTAAATAATAGCTGAATTGTCTACAATGTGGGGCATGTCAAATGGAAGCTGTAGGGAAAGTTTTGATCTCCAGGGCTAGCTTCACTCACTAGAGCTGCCTCCTGGCACGTACAGCTTGTACAGAGGAGACACAACTCTTAATATATCCCAAGAGCCTTGCAGGTAAGCAGTTTACTGAAGATGAGAGGGATCAGGGGACATCTAGAAGAGATGCTTTGCTTTGAACACACGATGCTCAGATTCTGTTTTATTAATTTATCGTATTACTTATTAATGTGATTTTCCATTGGAGGGATGCTGATTTTTTTCGTGGTGGTGAATCACAAATCTTCCTGCTCAGCTGGCCCTTTGGCTAACCTGTGGTTACTCTGAAGTCTTTGGAGTCAGTAGTTTGTCCTCTCTAAAGCCATCAGTTGCCAAGGAGAATGGTTTCATGGAGGCAGGCTGTAGTCTTTACCACTATTGCCTGCCCTTGTTCTAATCTCTGAAGTCTTGCCAAGCCGTTTCTTTCATAAGGTTAGACGTGGGTGATCACCAAGCTCTGGGGAGCCTGAGGGGCTCTGGGAACAGAGACTGGGCACAGGTGGGACCTCAGCTTGAGACCAGGGCCAGGAATGTTTCTTCTGGCAGACTTTGGCCTTTGTCTGCACAAACACTGCCTTAATGTGGCTCTATACCTACGGTATTAGCATCTCCAAGACTGTTTAATGGCATTCAGTAAATGCTTTTCAGAAATAGGAGCTTTCCTCTGCTTTGAGGCTCTTTCTTTAATTTTCCCTCTGCACTTCATCTTTTCAATCTACAGGAAAAAAAAACCAGTAAGTTGGGTAAGTCTGCAGACTCACCCCTTCCCTGCCTTGTTTTCGTTTGTTAAATGTTTTGTTTATGTGAGAGATGAATAGAGATGAGCTGCGTAGCAGAAGAGAGAAATCTGGCCCAATTCACGTTGGTTTTAGTGCTTTTGCTTTCCTGTCTGTGTGTGGATCTCTGGTCAATCACTTAGCAGCTATCAAGCAAGTCACACCACATTCTCCACTCAGTCATCAGCAAACTTACAATTCCCACTTGTGTGTGTAGGCAGTGAGACTCCTAAATAAGCTGCTTGCTGAATTTAGGTCTGGATATGACATACATTATTTCTCCTCACCAAGTAAGGTAAGGTATGGTTTGTCACGGTAGAGTACCAATGCAGTGCCACCCTCTCCAATATTAAACTGTGGTATACACTGATACCATCTCTATAAGTATTTCTGTGAATACCTTTCAGATCTGTTTGATATTTTCTATTCCATTTTGAATATATCATGCCCAACGTTCTCATAATAACCTTGCAAGGACGATATTTTTCCTTTGCAGTACTTTGCTAACTGGTAAAGGACGTGCTTGCAGAACAGCAGGTGGGAAGGTTGCCCAACTTTTTGGTTTTGCTGTGACCAGGAGATGACTGCTGTGTGCACAGGCACTGGTTTCATTCATGTTGTCTAAACCTGGAGTGATGCTACTGATTTAAGGGAGTTGCTGCAGGCCTTCACCTTCTTAACACAGAACTGCAATTGCTCCGAAGTTCCAACAAACGTGAGAAGGCAGCCAAGTTCTTTGCCACACAGGGAAACACAAAATACCTGCAGTACCATGGTTACAGAGTCATGGTAAACAGAAGATATTTTTACACCTCTCCATATTGATACCACTTTTAAACCAGCCAAAATTTAAACGATTTTCAGTCAAATGTGTCTGTGACAAAGTAAATGTAATGTAATTATCGAATGTATTTGCTCTGTCTGTCTGCCTCCTTCCTGAGGCTTTAATTGGCATACTCAGCCTATGCACCCTGCTTGGTAGGTGATGGAAATCTCTGCTGGTAAACCTGAGAAAACCTCTTTCCTTGACAGTGCTCAAAGATGCGTAAGTTATGCTTTTAAGAGAAATGTAAAAGGAATCATCAGGAATTGCCATCGCATCCAGAGGCCTGGAGGAAACAATGACCAAAATTAAGGCAGGGTAACTGTAGAGTAGAAACCGAAAGAGAGAACCTCTTTCGTAAGAAGGGAATTTTTTTTTTCTTGTTGAAATTCTGGAATGAATTTGGACACTAATATTTAAACCAGGAAAACCTGAGTGGGGAGAAACTTATTCTGGGAGGAGATTTAGATTGAACTAAAAGTTACTGAATTGGCTAACTTCTCAGCAGGCCTGGTACACCAAAACTTCCACCTAAAGGTATGTTTGCACCCAGTGTAATTTGCAGAAGTATTTGCTGAGGTACACGAACAGGAGCAAAGAGCCCAGGCACCCACCCAAATACTGCTGGGTGCTTTATGGAACTCACATTAATTGGATAGCTGAGTTTTATGAACATTAATGTTGAATCTCAGTATTACAAGTGCAGCTGACAGTAATCACTTCCGAGCACAGTCATGTTCTACTCAAGCATGTATGATTCATGCCAGAGCCACTACGGGCACTTCAGCTTTCAACCTGATTTCATATTCCCTTTATCCACTGCTGCTCAGTGAAAGGTAAATTGCTCAGGTGAAATGAATTAGTCAGTTAATCATCCTTGAACATTGGTCTCTCTACAACCTTTGTTTTGTAATAAAGAATTAATGTCACCTTTGCAGTTGGTAGCAGACACCTGCATTTTGGCCTCGTTTCAGTGTAGCAGATCTGCGAACGTGTTCTGATCTTTGGCTAGCACTTTTAAAGAAGGAAAGCCATCAAAAAAACCTCTTATCAGAGTTGTCTTAAGTACTCCACTTGCTGTTGAATATTTCAATAAAAAGAGCTTTTCCTACAGGAGTCAAAGGCTATTTTGGAGATATTGCTCTCATTTTAAGACATAAAATGTAGCAAAGCAAGATTTCATGATCAAGCACTGATGCAGTGGATTCTCATCCCTTCTGATGAGCGAGAAGAGGAAAGTGCTTCACTCCTCTTTCTGCAGATGTGCCCTGGAACAGTGAGCTGCAGCACACCTGCAGAACTGCTCCTGGGGTCAGGATCCTGCCCAGCACCACAGTATGAAGGCAGCGAGCAAGGAATGGGCTCACAGGTAATTGTTCAGATCTGGGGCACACTTCTTCATTGGTGCATGACCTGCAAGAATTGCCTTAATTCATCTCTGCCTCTGAATAGAGCATGAATGGAAGCATTGCTCTGCTAATCTGAAATAGAGTTAAATTGACAGCCGGAGAGCAGCATTGTTATTGGCTGAATATCATTAATTTTGATGTGACATATTTCTTAGTAATGGGAACATTTATATTATCTCTATTTTCAGAAAGCAGAAGGGGAGAAAATTCCACCACAACAGTATCAATATTTCAAGGGGAGGCAATGCAGTAGGGAACACTCTAGCTTCTGTAACATTGCTTTTATTGATTACTATAGGTCTAAAAAAACCCATTTTCACCTTTCTTCTCTACTACTTCTCCCTTCAGAGACTGCTGAAGTGTGCGAGGAGGAAAAATAACACAATGAGGAAAAAATACAAAAAAGCAACCAGTGCCATGAATAATCCTAAAATATGAATAGATATATGTATTTGGACAAAGTGAGTACTGCTCCGTGTAAAACCATCAGCAGGAAAGCAGAGCTTAAAGAAGACTTAGGGACAGCAATAGCTGGTGTGCAGTTCTACAGAGGAGTGATGTGATCGGTTGGATAACGTAGAGCGGACCAAGCCAGGACAGCTCGTGTGCAAAACTGAACTGGGTGATGTGGAATGGCACTGGATGGCACTGGTAAGGATGAAGGCAACAGAATTTGGCCCTCCAAGATGGAACACGTGGTTCAGCCAAAGCCTTTCCTTGTGGTGCCCAGCAGCACAGTGTGGTGAGCTCCCCTTGTGCACAGCCTGGTGGCTCTGAGTAATGTGGTGGTTCTGTTAATGCTGGCAGTAGATTTGCTTTGTGCTCTTTTCTAAGTGAGAGTAGGAGATGACCTGTGAAAACTCTGAAGATGCTTCTGAGTCACTGCAAGGAAAACGAAGATCGGTGTTGGGCTGGGAGGGGAAGGGAGCAGCTGGGTGAGGAGAACATCATGCTCTCTGCCCTGTGGGCTGGCCTTCAGTGTAAGGGAAGGGAATACAGAAAGAAAACAAATCTGGAAAAAAGAAGGAAGAAAATAGTGCTGGTTAAAATGACTACGAGCAGCTCAGCTGTGGTGCTCAGGGCAGCAGGTGGTGAGCTGGGACTGCAAGCTTCTGTTCGAGTTGGCCATGTGCTGTCTGTTACAGCTGTTATAATCAAAGAGGTGGTGCAACTGCCCCTGGGTGGCTTTGGGTTGGCTCTTTAAATAAAATATTAAACTTGAAGGAAGGAGAGTAATGGGGTAACCAACAGATGAGCTGAAGGATGAGGGCTCTGGGTCTGTAGGGGTATGGTGAGGTACAAGAGCTACCTTCCCTCTGATTCCCTCAGAGAAAAGCTTTGTTTTATTGAATGAAGGTTACAGACAAGAAGATAGGTTTAAAGCTACCTATAAATCCTGGAAGGCAAGGAGCTGAATTATTTTATCTTGTTTTAAAAATGTAATTCCTGGTAATTGTTTTCTGGATTGAGAACAGGCAAATATTATACAGTCAATCTCATAAGATACATTTTTCTGCACTGATTTTGCAGAGCTGAGGAGGGGGGTAAGTCAGTCCTACAAGTCATGTTTCAGCCTGATATTGCCATCTCAGCTTTTGGGATTTGCAATTACTTTTTGCTAGCACGAGACATTTATTGCAATTTAACACCCTTCCCTGCCTCCCCATATACCTTTTGAACACCTGTCAATGAGAAATGCTAGACTTGAGCTTGCAGTCTCCCCAGAACAGCATGGAAGCTTTCCATGCAAGAGGAGCAAGAAGGGCTTTCAGGGCTATGTGAAGCCAGAACACTTCACATCATTCTGGTTGAGAGCTATTTTATGAAGGGAAGAACCTGGTTCCTGGTGCTCAGCTTTGTGCTCCTCACGTCTCCTCCCCTCTTGATGGATCATATGCACCAAAAGGCCATTTGTGGCACCACCCGAGGAACTCCTCCTGTCAGAGATGATTCTGTGCTGTGAAAGCCTTCTCAGGATCAATATGTGTGCTTTTTCTTTTTTTCCATCACAGCTTACCTAACTTTGCTTTTATTAAATAATGATTCTGAAATGTGCTTAAGCGTGTAATTTTTAAGAGACTGTTATTTAATTATTGAAAATTTCAAAGAGGAGATATTAAACCAATTATTAATTTAAAGTTGAGTATGAATCCCAGAGAGATAATTACCAAGGTCTGGGGCAATTTGTCTTTTATTTGAAATAGATTTTCACTTGACTGTGTTGTGTTTGTCATTTATATCTATGGCTGTTACTGCAAAGGACTGCATTATCCTGCAAAGTACAAAATGTTTCTCTGAAGTTGGCCGTAAATACATGAGCAACAGGTTAGCTGAACTCTTCATAAGGGCACGCTGTCTTTTGGGAGGAATCCATCCTTTCTCCCATCACAGGCAAAATTCATTCCAGTAAGTAGTCGTTCTATCACAGCAACAAGAAAGAACACTTTGTATGTGCAGCAACCACACTAAAATGTAATTTTGCTTCCAGAAGACATAGGTTATATTGGACTTCATATGTACATAGAGCAGCGTGATAAAATGCTTATAGTGATACTTAAAAGCTATAATGGCAAAAGACAGCATAAGTGATGTCGACTCTTAGGCAGAATTAATATTCGGTCTACAAGTGTGATAATTTTTTCCAGCATATGTAGCGGTTGTAGATATTTTAACCCTTAAAGATATAAATGGAACGTCTCAGTAATGGGTAGATTAAATGCACATTAATGCATTAATCTGGATTTTGTGTCTGTTCTACTGCAGAATGCTAAATACAAAGGACTGGTGAATGTTATGAATGCCTATGCTTAAGCACGGTTGCAAATCATCTGTGAAATAGCTTTTTTGGATATTTGAGTCATAAATTCCAATTTAATTACTCTGGAAGTGGAATTAATAGTGATGTACTTCATCGTTAAACAGTTTCAGGAGGGCTGGAGGCCGTGGGTACCCAGCGGTGTGCTGCACCACTGAGGATTTCCCTTCTGTCAGCTGCCTGTTTTCTGATGAAGATTGTTGAGGGTATCGAGGATCTTTTCACTTTAATATGTTTTGAGTGGATGAAAATATATCCATGTTTTCCTTAAAGATGAGGTGTTCAGCGCATCCACCACAGAGAAGGCGAATGCTCCCTGCTTCCCTTCCTACTCATGAAAAGATCAGCTTGACTGGAGAATGCTGCTGCTTGTGTTCAGTCACTTTTCATCTTGAAATTCAAAGAGCATTATTTATAATCTCTTTTTTTTTGGAAATGCGTAAAAATGCTTAATTTTCATTGCAGCTTAATTTTTTTTTTCAGTTCACCTATAAAAATGGTTAGAATGCCAATGCTCCCCCTGTTGTTTCTCCTCAACCCTGAAAAAAAATCTGAGAATATGAACATTTCCTCCGGGAGCTGAAAGAAATGCTATTCATTAACTCTTGCTGAGTGAATCCCCAGGAGGCTTCCCTGCATTGATAGCCTGTATGAGAAAGTGCACTCTGTGCTTGGGTAGGAGGGATATGGGGTAGCAAGACGGCATAGACAGATTGCAGAAAAAATGGAAAAGGAAAATTCAGAAGAAAGGTGAAATGTTGTAATTCTGATCTAGTTGTATCTGCAAAGACTGTTATAGCTCCTCAGCTCCAGTCCCTTCATTATTGTCATTTGTATAAGACACAAAGGTCAATGTCTTGAGATTAAATAAGCTCTATTATCAATTGATCTCCTCTCTAAAGATGAAGTGATTATTAATAAGCCTCATCTCCTTTAAGAGGACACGTAAAGGATGTTGTGGAAGTCAGGCAAATCTGCTGACCTTTTTCTGCTGGGCACAACAGTATCCAAAGTTTAAATCTACATCCCTGAATGATCTTTCCCACGGCTGGGAAGCTTTTTGCTGAGCTCAATCTTCAGCCATGAAGGTGTGGCAGGAGGGAATCCAGAAGGGCTGCACAGCCCAAGAGCTCCAGCCTCACCCCAGTTGGGTGGAAGAGCCCCGTACCCAGGACTGCACCGGCGGTGAGGAGCACTAACTTCTGCCCAGAGGGTGAGAGGCCATTGGTGGTGGGGCTGGAAGCGTGTTCACGGGCCCAAAGCAGTGCAGTGGGCTGCTGAGGAGCACACAGGCTTTAATATTTTTAGATATTTCTGAACTGAAGAGAAGCATCATAAAAACAGGGCTTACCTTACCTCCAAGGACATGCCGTGTCCAAGGTGACTTATATTTGAGTTTATGTGCCTTTCCGAGTGCATACAATGCGGTAATGTCATTTTTGTTTTTTGTTAGATGCTGAACTCCTTGGCATAACACACAGCCATGGCTCAGCCCCCACCCAAGGTCACTGAGGTGGGCAGGTTCCCCACGGTGGGCTCTGTGCTCACAGCTCTGCAGCCCAGCGCGCCGACAGCGCTCAGCTCCCACGGCGCTGAGAGGCGTTTTAGCTAATTAAGCCTTCCCTCATCTGTGGGAGGGAGGTAAATATTTATTGTCTCATTTCAGAGTTGAAGCAACATGAGATAAGGCAGCACAATGACAAATGATGAACAAGGGCTGCTGCGTTGCCCAGCCAGGAGCGAGGCCAACACAGGGACTGGCACGGCTCCCACCCGGGCTGAGCTGTGCAGGGTTGGGTCTCTGCACAGAGCTTGTACACCTAATTAGATGCTGTTTGATGTTTCAGATCACTTTTGCAAGCCTCACGAAAGAGATTTGTGTATCAAAGTACCTCTTTTGTAAATGGCAAGTTTTGGAAACGCAGGTGTTTTTTAGTTTGCTACTGCACCTCTCTGCTTTAGAAAGAAATCTAACTTCACTCTTCACTGGATGCGTGTACGCAAGGCACACTTTGAAGCAATCCTTGCAGGAAACATTCTGATCTGCCATAAGAGTGGTGCAGGTCCAGGTGCAGCGGCAGGCTGTGCTTTACACACACTGTGCTCACTGGGGAGGGCTATGAGATTGCTTCAAGGGAGCCCCCAGCTTGCAGGCTTCTTCCCTCTGAAACTACAATTGTATTGTCATTAATACCATCCCACCCTCTCCTCTCCTGCAAATCTGGGCTGAAATAAGGCTGGAATTTCATTCATCAGTGCTTACTGCTCAAAGCAGTGCTGCTTTCTCATGGCGTCCCCACAGACACGTTCTGCTTTCCTGGGGATAGAATATTGAGCAGAAATTGCATCCAATCTTCAGTAAGACCGAAGTGTGGGAATGGGTTTTGTGCTTTGGCTGCTTTGTACTACCAGCTTATGAAAAATAACAAAGCGAGCAGCCAAGTTGAGGAAACAAATAGGATATTATGTTGTTTATTCATATGTGCTGCCTTCCATCCCATTTGTCACCATTTCATCCCACCTGCTGCTGAAAAAGATTCTGTGGCTGAGAGATGCCTTCGAGGCGTTGTTGGCGCTCTCACGCTACAAGTGAATATCAATATCTGCTTTGAATAGCCTAAATGTATTTTAAACAAGGCATTTCCAAATTATTGCTGCATGACTGTGTGTGGGCTCTGCAGAACACCAATTAAAAGTCTGTCAGCAATTCAACGCAATCCATTGCAAGAATTTATTCCAAGAAGAAATTTGGTGGCAGCGACCAAGACTAGCAACACTTTTCCCCCTCTCTCTCCTCTCCTTTCTTTTCCTTTTTAGTCCCAGGAGACAATATTTA